CTTTCCTTCTTAACAAAATGTGACTGGATGTTCAAATATAATATGTTTTATGAGCCTTATACATTACCTGCAAACTAATATAATCAACCAACTTGTAAAACTTGAATAATTTTAATAGATAAAATAATATATTTGATGGGTAACAGTCATTTTTTCTGGTGATAATTCTTACAGTTCTTTTCTGCAAAATAAAAATAGGATTAGTAATTGTTTTACATGTTTTCCCCCAGACTTCAATACAATATATCAAATGTGGAACAATTATAACATTATATAATATAAACAGTTCTTTATCATTAAATAGCATAGTTTCTGAAATAAATAAAATAAAAATGATGCTTCTGTTAATTAGAAAAGCGTTTAGTAGAAATAAATCATGTGAACATTGTTAAACAGTCCCATTTAAACCCTCATCTCAACACTTATACTTTTAGCCAGTGTAAAGATGCATCACTTTTAGACTGAAATCCAAATATGGGTGAATTCATAAGTCACAGTCTTTTTATTGGAAATATTAAAAAACAGACTTTTATTATAAATTACAGATACAATGGGGTCTACTGACTCACTGAAATTTGAAAAGCATAAACATTGTTGTTTATTGATGATTCTTAGTTCCAAATATTTAAGTACTTCCTGTCTGCTTTCTTCTTCAGATGTACAGAGTGTTGACGAGGCAGCTCAAACTTCTAATACTGTAGTATTTCCTGCAAATGGTACGTCTTAAGATGAAACTGCATACACATAACATTTTGTCTCTTTTAGTTAAGGCCTTAGGTATAGCTGAGTAACCKCTGAGGGTGTTAACTTAGAGAGGTTACAGATAAGACTTAGAGATAAAATTATTACTCCTAATTCTTCATTCAACATTGCACTTAATATAGTATTTTTGGGCTAATTTTGGCCTGTCTATCATACAGTTTGTAAGCTTAATGTATGATTGCTTTACCATCACTTTAGTAATGAACATATCAACAATTCTTTGTCTCTATAAAGAAATGTACTTAATTATTAACAGTAATGTTTTGTGATAGAATAGTTACTATGAAAAACTACAGAAATGAAGCTGTTAACTAAACCAAAAACACAAATCAGTTTAGCCTGATATTTGTCCAGTGGTAGTCCTTAGACAAGGCTGATTCCAATGTTTTTGTTATATTCTCTGCATAAAYCAAAGCTTATAGTGTGCATGATAAATACTATGTAATACTTGACACTTTTACTTCAACCTCAACAATTACTGATATTGATTCATATTTTAAAGGCACAGTGTGTAGGATTTGTTGTTTTCAGCAACATCTAGTGGTTGAGTGGTTGACTCATCCTCCCTGGTCCTCCCCCCACCCCCACCCCCCGCTTCCAAACGCTACGGTGTCTCTCAGGGGTCAAAAACCTTTCATAATTCCAACCGCAATGTCTACCAGCAGCTTCAGGGCTAGTGATGTTTCAAGTGGTAAGATTATGAGCTTTAATAAGTAAAATTATACCAGCTATGTTTACATGCACAAAATTAATCGGATTAAACAGCCGTTCAGAATAAAAATGCGTCAT